ATTAATATAATTCACATAAATAAAAAAATACCAAAAAAACGGCGAAAAAGCATTGCCCATGTTAGTGCATAGGAGCGTATTAAATATGTAATCGCTAATTAATTTTTTCGTTAAAAAAAGCCTGTATATGGCGCTCACAAATTGTTTCTAAATGTTTGGCCCCGGTTCTCCCCTATATTGTGAGGCGTTGTCAAACAAATGGATCGCCGGCCTGGAACGACAATTACATAGTTTCTTGTGAATAGCTTATTTATCGAAGAAATACACTAGTAGGTTTGCAATTACAAACCTGCCGAGCAGCGATCGCTATTAGAATAAAGACTATTTCGAGCATATAGATCTTCCGCCAACCAGGCATCGAACTTGGTAGTAGGTATGAATCTCCAACCAATCCGTTACGGCAGCCGCCACCTATTTCGCTTACTCAAATTAATTTAAGCTTAATTTATTATTTTTTAATTGACCATCAGATAAGCCACACATCCCGTAAACGCGCATTAACTGATTTAGAATTTTTACCATCGCATTTTCCCAACATTTATTTGACTTACAGTGGTTTATTGAAAATTAGAGTGCCAATATGGTCAAGGTGCACACTAAATTTTTTGTGACTCTTATATTGCAAATCATTTTTGTAGAAAGTGTAAGTTGAACAAGCATATTATTTTCTGAACTAATTTTTACTCGCAAACATTTCGCCACAAACAGAGTCCTTTTTTCAAACTGACGAGAATGGAATGTAGAGATATGAGTAAAGAATTTGTTCGAGTAAATGCGTGTCGGCTGAAAGCTGTGAAGCGTGATATGGTTGAAGCGACTGTTCGCCTTCAGTTGCTGAAAAAGGTGGACAATTGCCATGTGAGTACTTATATTTAGATACTGAAGTGTAATCGGACATATTCGAGCATACGTATATAATAAATAAAGTTACTTGAAATAATTTACTTTTTAGCTGCATGTTGAGCTCATGCGGAAATACAACACCTTCCAACCATTTCTGATCAATGTTACCTTCGATGCTTGTGCATTTATGAAAACGCGCAAAAATTCCGTATACTTTGATATTTTATTCAAACTAATAGAGAAATTCACAAATGCAAATCATACATGTCCTTATGAGGTGAGCTTCAAAACATTAAAAATTTTGTTTAATTTTATCTACGAGTGGTGTACTCTTCTTTTTCATTGCAGGGCGAATTCATCGTAGACCGCTTTCGGCCGCTGCATAGTAATCTCATTCTGCCGCTTCCCACCGGCGACTATCGCATTTTATTTGGGTTTTACATTTCAGGCGCCCTCCTCGGCAATTTATATGTATGGTTTGCCTTTAAAGAGCTGGAAAAATGGGAAACATCGCAAAAGAAATTAGACACTCCAAAAAATCTCCGGTTTCTTTGAGATCTGCATCAGAAATTCTAACAAGGAATGTGGGCGGCATTCTTCATTGCGCATTTTAACCAAAATCGGCCAGATGCCACAACCAAAATGGCAGCTATGTATGTGGGTTCTGAATTGTTAATTTAACTCCATACAAAGCTGTCGCTTTTAAATTTTTATGAAAATTAGATAATTTTTTAAAATTTTCCACAAAGATTGAAACTTGCGGTTGTATGTTTTTATTAAAAAATTTACTTTACTTTAATTGAAAGATAATGGAATTTAATAAATAAATAAAAGAAATAACAAAAAAAAAAGGCGAAAAAGCATTGCCCCATTTTAGTGCATGGGAGTGTATTAAATATGTAATCGCTAAGTAATTTTTTTCGGTAAAAAAA